TGGGCAAGTTCCTATCCTCTCTGAGCCCCGATTTTCTCATTTGTAAAGTGGACGCAGTTTTTAGCTCAAGTGCTTATGGCATGATAGATGTGAAGGGGAGGAGGCATGAGATGGGGGAGTCAGTGAGGCCAGGCTGAAGTTTTTGAGTTTGTTGTGTGTGTATGTGTGATGTGTATTTGGGAGGGAGTATTAGCTCTCTGTGGCCTGAAAGGCAGGGTTAGGACTCTCATCCCACTCCTGTGTCTTTGCAGAATGGCTACATCAATTTTGACAAGCGGAGAAAGGTGAGAGCGGTACATGAATGTATGCTTACCACCCCCTCCCATGTCCCAGGAAAGGGAGAGGGAAAAGTTGGGGGTCCCTGAGTTTTGGCTGGTACATTTTGAGGGCTCCTTCCTAGGAGTTTGCTGTCCTTTCTGAGCTGCGGCAGCTCCAGAACAAATGTCGTGGCTATGATCTCCGACCTGACCCAGACATCCAGCAGTGGCTGCAAGGACTCCGGCCACTGACCGAAGCCCAGAGGTGACTGGCTTGGGGAGGTTGGGATCTCAGGGCTCATGCTAGATGTGGGGGGATTGATGTGCTGTGTCCTGATTTCGGCCCATTGTTCCACTCCCCAGCCACCGTGTGTCCTGTGAGGTGGAGCCATCCGGTACCAGTGACCCTCCTGTTCCACGGGTGCTTCGGCCAACGCTGGTCATCTCACAGTGGACAGAGTGAGAGAGTCAGCAGTTGGGGGTGGTCTCTTAGGGACTTGCCTTTCTTCCTCTGACCTTACCAATCTCCTGCCACTCCAGGGTCCTGGGCTCTGTTGGGGGCCCCACCCCCTTTGTATCCTGGGACCGGCCCAGTATAGGGGGTGATGAGATACCTGGCACTCCTGCTCCTCTGCTGACCCGGCTGGCCCAGGTGAGCTCTGTTCCTGACCTCTGACCTCAACACTGATCCTAACCCGAAGTGTGTTTTCCTTAACCCTCCCTGACTTCATGCCAGTCTCCCATGTTGTTTGTCCCCCCAGCACATGAAGTGGCCATCTGTGTCGTCTCTGGACTCTGCCCTGGAAAATACTCCCTCCCTGAACAGTCCAGCTGACCCCAGCCACCTCTCTCCCCCAACCTCCTCCCCTCGGCCTTCTCGAGGTCACCGACGCTCTGCTTCCTGTGGCACTCCTCTCAGTGGGGGAGCAGAAGGGACCTCCAAGGGGACTGGATATGGGGGAGGGGAGCTTGGGCCAGGGGCCTCTGATTGCCGCATCATCCGTGTCCAGATGGAACTGGGGGAAGATGGCAGTGTCTACAAGAGCATCTTGGTGAGGGAGCTTTGGCCTCAGAGGTGGGGTGAAGATGGTGCTTTGTTATGTTCTACATATTTTAGGTTTGGGCAGCCAAATGGAGGATGATTATAGTTTTAATTCTGATGTTTGTTTCTGGCAGTGATGTTTTATTTTGATGTCTATGTTGCATTCACTGCTGCACCTTGAACTTTTGGTGGCCATATTACATTTTCAGAATTCATAGCCGTTTTCCCACAGGGAAGCAGCCCTATTTCACTGGGTGCTGTGTGGGCTGGCTAATGGGGTACAGGAGCCACCATATTGGGTTTCCTATTCCACTTTAGAGAGTTGGACACAGATAGTCTTTTTCTGTTGGGAGATTAGTGGCTGAGGTTGGAAGGATGGGAAACAGAGGTCATCATGGAGTGATTTATTTTTCTTTTGGTCTCTGGTGCCACCAGGTGACCAGCCAGGACAAGGCTCCAAGTGTTATCACTCGTGTTCTTAAGAAAAACAATCGTGATTCTGCAGTGGCTTCGGATTATGAGCTAGTACAGCTGCTACCAGGGGAGCGAGGTCAGAGGCTACAGGGAAGGCAGGCTTGGGAGGAGAATGGTGCTCACCAATGGGAGTGCATCCACCTCTGGGAAGTTGGGGGGCAACAACTGTATTTGTGCTTGACACCAACCTTCTGAACCTACAGAGCTGACTATCCCACCCTCGGCTAATGTCTTCTATGCTATGGATGGAGCGTCACATGATTTCCTCCTGCGGCAGCGGCGAAGGCCCTCTGTGGCCTCAGTGGGCCACTCCAGCGGCCTGCCTGCCTCTGGAACTCCCCCGAGTGAGGGGGGAGGGGGTTCCTTTCCCAGGATCAAGGCCACAGGGAGGAAAATTGCCCGGGCACTGTTCTGAAGAGGAAGCCCCGTTGGTTCACAGAAGTCATGGTGGCCATACCAGATGTGGGTAGCCTCCTGAATGGTGGCAGTCACGTCACATTGGGACAGAAATCCTGGAAGGTGGCCAGCTGCCCTGGAACAGTGAAGTGCCAGTGGTTTACTACATATCTGTGAGATAAAGCCCTGTGGAAAATGGTAATCTTGGTAACCAAGCTGGATACCTGTATACAGGCCCCACTTTCAATGAATGTAGTACACAGCTAGTGCTGGGGAAAAAGCGTCAGTCCTGATTCCTGACCACATGCTAGCAGGCAAAGGGCCAAAGAAAGGCCTAGAAGGTAGTGGAAGAGGAAAGGCCCAGAGGCTTTGAGCCCCAGGGTAGGGGTGAGTGGCAAGGAGGTTCTAGCAGTTCTTTTTCCCACTCTGAGGGTTCTAGTCACTGTGACACTAAGATAATAAACCAAAACACTACCTGAGTTCTCCTGTCCGTGTGGTGTCTATGAACTGGCTGCTGGGACGGGTGGAGAGTTGGCGAAGGTAGGAGCAGTGGCACAGGAAGGAGTCTCGTGTTTTCTATCCATGTAAAGAGGTGCTACTGAAAATGGTTTCCTCAGAGCAGTTTACTCCTCCCCAGCAATTTCCCCACCCTGGAATCCTTTACTCTTACTAAATTTTTCTCAGTTTTCACAGAGATCAGTAGGAAGAAATCCTTAGGGTGCAAATTTCTAGGAAACCATTTTAAGACATAGATGTGAGGACAATTTCGTGGGTAACACGTGAACTTAGAGAATTTGCGACACCATAAAGCATGATGTTAAGATTCTACAAATGCTAAGACAGACTAAAAAGAACTAAAGAGATGCCAGGGCCAAGATGATGAATATTCATAACAAGGATAGTAACGACATTTCATCCTGAGGCATCAGGTTGCAGGATTGTGATCCTTCATTTAAACTGATAACCCTAACAATATGCTGTATTATAAATACACTTCACATGTTTCCTTGATTGGCCATGCCAACTGAGATAAGGGAATGTTAAGGGTTGTATATACAGGTAAGAAACAAGTTGGGAGACCTTTCAGATTTTGGTTTCAAGAAATAGGGAAAGATTGCCCTGCCAAGGGAGACTCCAGTCACAAGAATATGGGCCTCAGAAAATAATGCAAGTGGCAGGAGCTGGGCAAATAGGTAGAAATCACGAGTGGATGGACAGAAAACAAAGCCAGGTGTTTTCAATTTTATTAGCTACAGTGTAGACTCTAGAGCTGCCTCATTCCCTCCCCTTCCCTTCCCCCGACTATGAGGTCAGGCGTTCCCAGGAGTCCCTGCCTTTGCTGCCTGGGCCCGCTGGAACTCCTGCTGCAGCTGAGCCAGGGTCTCCCTCTGTCGTTCTGACTGCTTCTCCAGGTCGCGGAGCAGGGATTCGTATCGCTTACTGAGGAGCGGCAAGGAAGGCAAAGAAACAGAAAAGCAACAGTTAGTGGGACTAATTGAGGGTACTGAAGGCAAGAAAAATAGGTGGCAAAGCTGAGATACAGGGGAGTGAGGGGAAAGGCAGGTTCAAAGGGAAGAAGGGGGTGGAGGACTGGATGATTGGGGCTACTCTGCAGAGCTGCTCTACAGTGGCTCCTCCAACACGTCTACTCCAACAGTGTCGGTTACATCACGGTGGCCGTATAGACTCACATTTCAGCTGTAATATAGTCCAGCCTCTTCCCCACTGTGGCCCGAGCCTCCCCCAGCTCCTGTTTGACCAGCACAGGACCCAGAAGTTTAAAGACCACGTTGGATCCATCCAGCAGGGCCAGTTCCTGAGGGAGGGATGGGAATCAGAACCATGGCCGGTACAGGTCCCCGCCCTCACCCCACACAGTTCAGTCCCTTACCTCCTTCACGATATTATTTTCTGTTAGTTGTGCCTCAAGCTTCTGCCGCCCTGACATGGACTTACTCAGGTCTGGAAGGCGAAAGGAAAGATGCGATTAGACACATCAAATGTGCCACCCGGCTCCCGCAACCCTAGTCAAAAGAGAATGGAGCTGAGGAAGTAGACAAGGACGGGTATAGGCGAGTGTAGGGGTGAGGATAGGGCTGCACACAGGGGTGGGTGGAGCAGAAAAATCTTGTCCTGGTTATTGCTTTGGGCTGTGGGTGAGTGAAGACACTGGGGTGAGGCCACCACTATCCCTGCTCCCTTACCCTTCTGTAGCTGTTGGTATTTCTCCACTTCTCCCTGTAGCTTCTTCTGGATTAGCTCAGCCATGACGGGGACGAAAACCTGCGCGGAGCGGGAGAGGGGCGCGAGGTCTGACACTCTGGAAGGTACCCGAGTTTCCCTTCCTGGCCTAGCCGGCAGAACAGACAGCACTCTTGACAGATAGCCCCTCGGGACGCTGCAGCCTCTCCCGATGCCGGATATCGTCTCTACCCCGGCCACATAGGGGAGGACGAAAAGAGACCCCAGCCCTCTCAACCGTAAGCCTGTCCTACTCACGTTCTCCCTTCAGAGTTACTAACCCCGGCAGTAAACAAGGAACGCTGGGAAAAACGGCGCCGGAAGCTGCCTCTGAGACATGCCGGGAAATGTGGTTCTAACAGGTTTAATGAGTGGCGTTCTGCTGAAAAAGACTAAGCGGAAAAGGTTTTGGTTTGGAAAAGGTTTTAAGCAAGATGGGAAAACTAAGACGGAAAAAGAAACGTCACCGTTATGTGGTTCCAGGATTTGCCTTTCTCTCATTCACAATGGCATTATTACTCCGGCAAAAGCTGCCGCTCGGGATGGCGGTTCCAAGCCTTGCCCCGCCCCTCAAAGGAGAGCTCACCATCACTCAAGATGGCGCCAAGAAGGCTTCAGACCTGGTACGGCGCTGATTGGGTAAATATTAGAGGACTTCCGGGAGTTTTCAAGCAGCCTGTGGGACAGCTAAGAGAGGTTTTGCACGTGGATAATCGCCGGTGGGCTTGATGGAGACTGCCCCCAAGCCCGGTGGGGATGCTCCGCCCAAGAAGAATAAACTTCAGGCCAAGAGGAAGGTAAAGGTCTCTCTGCGACGGGAAGGGAACCCTTTAGTTGAGGGGTCCTGGGGGGTCCCGGAGGTCGTGGGCAGCTGAGCATCAAGGTCCTTAATTTGCCGGTAGAAACCTCGGCGATACTGGGAGGAAGAAGAGACAGCTCCGACTCCTGCCGGAGCCTCCCCAGGGCCACCACATAGCAAGAAGAGGAAGCAGGAATTCCGTCCCCAGAGATCAAAGAACACTCTCATCCAAAAGAAGTCTTGGATCTCCAAGAAGCCCCAGGTCTCGAAGAAGCCCCGAGAGCAGAGGAATCCGGAGCCTCAGCGGACTTTGTCCGGGGTAAAACTGGGGGCAGATGGGGTGGGGGCTCAAGACGGCTTGTGCTTTGAGAGTGAGAGGGTTGGGGTCAGCCCAGATTTGTCTACTAATCTCATGGCGTGCTACTTGCTTCAGGCCCAAGACCCATTTCCAGGTCCTGCCCCAGTCCCTGAGGAGGCGGCCCTGAAGTTTCGTCGCATTGACAAATCTAAAAAGGTGAGGACCAACTGGAAAGTGGTGAAGGATTGGAGGCAGACGCTGTGTGGGTTAGCTGGGTAGAGGCTGGACCAGACGGCTTTCCTGTTAGCATACATATTCTGTTGTTCTTTCCTTGGCCTCTGCATTGTGCTTTGTTATTGTAGCTTCTACATTCTAAGTCCAAAACCCGAAGCAGACTTGAAGTGGCTGAAGCTGAGGAAAAGGAAACCAGTGTCAGAGCTGCTCGTTCTGAGCTGCTGCTTGCTGAGGAACCGGGGTGAGTGGACCCCAATCTGGGCTTCCCAGACCTCTTTTGTATGGAGCTCCTCCCCCTTCTTATTTTTGTGGAAATACATTAGGAAGTTTTTCTGCAACCTTGACTCTTCCTTGCAGGTTTTTGGAAGGGGAAGATGGAGAAGACACAGCAAAAATACGTCAGGCTGACATTGTAGAAGCTGTGGACATTGCAAGTGCAGCCAAGGTGAGCCAGAGGGTTGATTTACTGGTGATGCAAGACAATGGGAAAGTGAGGATTAGAAGAAGGAGTTGCTGAAGGGAGCCCTACCAACTACTTACTGGAAGGCCACTGACCAGATATCCTGCACAGCCTCCATGGATTCTTTCTTGATTCTTTGTTTTTCCTCCTCCCTTTTGTAGCACTTTGACTTGAATCTGCGGCAATTTGGACCCTACAGGCTGAATTACTCTCAAACTGGGAGGTAAAGTTGAATTCCAGTAATATGCTTGGGCTGGTGCTGGGGAGAGGGGACTGTAATTTGCCTGGACTTGGGGGTGAACATCTGTAGCAACATCTCCTCTCACCTGGAGAGGAGGGGCTAGCATTGGGCAGACCTGTAATTGGCTGAATCAGTATGTGCCCCTGCACTGACACCCTGTCTGTCCCAACCTCCAATAGGCATTTGGCTTTTGGAGGGCGCCGAGGTCATGTGGCAGCCCTTGACTGGGTGACGAAGAAGCTGATGTGTGAGATCAACGTCATGGAGGCTGTGCGGGACATCCGGTCAGTGGCCTTCCAGACAGTAGTCAGTCGGGCCAAGACAACCCATCCTTCATTGAATAACAGCTTGTGACTTCTTTCTCATTGAATTTCCCAGGTTTTTGCACTCAGAGGCACTAATTGCTGTTGCTCAGAACCGCTGGCTTCACATCTATGACAACCAAGGCATTGAACTGCACTGCATCCGCCGCTGTGACCGCATCACACGGCTCGAGTTCCTGCCCTTCCACTTCCTCCTGGCCACAGCTGTGAGTGGCTGAGGAGCATAGGGCTAGGTGGCAGCCTTTGGGAAGGCCCCTTCTCTAGGACCCAGTGTAGGGAAGACAGGCAATCAGGACTCACTTATTTTCATTTTCTCTCTTAGTCAGAGACAGGGTTCCTGACCTACCTGGATGTGTCAGTGGGGAAGATTGTGACAGCTCTGAACGCTCGGGCTGGACGCCTTGATGTCATGACTCAGAACCCTTACAATGCTGTCATCCATCTTGGACACAGCAATGGTCAGTCCCTGACTTAGCTGTGACTCTCTTATTGTCCTGGTTTTCTTTTATATTTGTAGGTCATGAGACCTTGAAAGTTGCCCTTCTCTCTCTTTTTACCTCTTGGTCTTGGGTCCCCATCTTTCCCAGGTTTAACTACCTCTGCAGCACGGTAACTTTTGTTCTGTGACTTTCAGGTACTGTATCTTTATGGAGTCCAGCTGTGAAGGAGCCACTGGCTAAGATTCTCTGTCACCGTGGTGCAGTCCGGACTGTGGCAGTAGATTCTACAGGCACGTAAGTCACTTGTTTGGGGATGAGTTGTTGAGGATAACAGATGGGCAGAAAGATGTGAAAGTTAGTGTGCCTTTAGGGGCACAGACTGTAGCCTGCCTGCCTGGGTTTAAATCCTCTTGTTGCCATTTATCAGCTGTGTCACTGTGGGCACATTACATAGGCCCTGTGTGCTGCACTTTCCTCACCCCAAGAGTGGGGATCTGAGCGTCTAGTTCAGGAGTCAGCACCTTTTTCTGTCAAAGACCAGGCAGTAAATATTTCACGCTTTGCAGGCCATGAGGAGGAATCAAGGACCTTATCGTAAATACTTAACTAACAAGAAAGAAAACAAATTATCACAAACTTTTTTTTAGTGATGAAACTCAAAATCTAAGAATTGAGTACAGTGTTGTATAACCAAAAAAATAAGCCAGACTCACTGCCGTTGAATCAGATCCGACTCATAGCGATCCCTCCTTGGGTTTCCGAGGCAGTATCACTACGGAAGTAGATTGCCCAGTCTTCCAAGTCTAATGAGAAGAATTGAATTCTGTATTTGAGGATATCATGTTGCTAAATTTAGGTTCGAAGTTAGTACTCCAGATCATCAAACTCAGTTACAAATGCTCATCTGTTAATGCTGATGTGTAAAGATTTTACGTATTTCATCTTTAAAAACATCTTTTTACACAGATGGGTGATGAGGTAGGTGGTATGTGAGGCATTTCAACTGTTGTCATGTTGTTTATAACTGTGCAGAAAGAACGTGGGGCAACTTCTGACCTCCTCCAACTTTACAAGGAGGAAGGAGGATCCAGAACATCAGCAGCCCAAGGCTGATTCCTACAAGGTAGAGGTCAAACATGCTGCCACTCTCTAATCCTTTTTACCAGTCCTGACGCCAGCTTTCCCTCACACAGCACTCACTACTCTGCTGGCTTTGATAATTCATTGCAGTTGCCATACAGAACTCACAGACAGTACTCACCATTATGAGGTTTAGGAAATAACAGGTTATAATTCAGGATCAGAAACATTTCAGGATACAGTTCTTGGATCGTGACAGCTTTTTCTCAGCTGTGGTGCTGCAGACACAGTTCTCTCCGGCCTTTGCCTCTGCCCTGCTTGGACAAGTGTTACAAAGCTCTTTTATCTCTGTCCTTAGGTGCCTAGAGAGGCACCCTACTCTGTCAGCAAGTTTCCTGCCTGAAGGCACTCAGCGTCTTATTCCATGGTGGGAAGCCCACTGCACTGCTCTGCCTCATGCTCGTCTCTTGATTCTGCTGCCTCTGTGGCCACTGTCTCTCTGCCATCTCTTTCTGTCTCAGCACAGGGATCTCAGGCCTAAGGATGCGCTTCACTCCAGGCTCTTCTTGCTCTCCCCCCCCCTTTTTTTAACCCCACCCATCCCTGCTAACCATCAAAGAATATTTCTTGTTTTGTGAAACCCTTTTTTTGACTTTTTACAATAGTAGTCTCATACAATATTTGTCCTTTTGTGGCTAACTTCACTTAGCAAAATGGCCTGTAAATTCATCCACATTATGAGGTGTTTTGCAGATTGATAGTTGTTCTTTAATGTTGTATAGTATTCCATTATACATATGTACCATAGTTTGTTAGCCATTCCTCCATTGATGGGCATTTGGGTTTGTTTCCATCTTTTTGCTATTGTGAATAGTGCTACCATGAACATGGGGGTGTGGATATATCTGTTCGTGTCATGGCTCTTATTTCTCTGGTATATATACCTAGTAGTGAGATTATTTTCAGTCACTAAGGAAGCACCATACCATTTTCCACAGTGGTTGCAACCATTTTACAGTCTCATCAGCCATGTATGAGGAGGGTTCCAGTCTCTCCACACACTCACCAGTATTTGTTGTTTTCTACTTTTTTGAACTTTGCTATTAGTGCTAGGGTGAGATGATTCCTCATTGTTGTTTTGCTTTTCATATCTCCAAGGGTTAATGATTGTGAGCACTTCTTAATGTGTTAGCTGCCTAAATGTCTTCTTTGGTGAAGTATCTGTTCATATATTCTGCCCTTTTTTTTTTTTTCCTAATTTGATTTGGGTGGAAGTTTACAAAGAAAATTCATTTTTCATACAGACGTTCATACACATTTTGTTTCATAACATTGACTACAATTTCCCACAATGGAACAGCTCTCTTTCCACTTCCTCCCTATAGTTACCTCTTCCCTGTGTCCTTCTTTCCTGTGCATTCCTGCCTCCTGAACTATCTCCCTGTGCCTTTCTGCTTTCTCTTAATTGATCGCCCCAAGGAGTGTATCTGCCTGATGTTAATGTTCAACCTATGTGCCTGTCCTTTGGCTGGAAGCCACAGGAGTGAGTTCAATTCCAGATCGAAGGGTAACGAGGGGCCGTAGTCTCAGGGGTCTCACTACACTCTTATCAGACTAGCAAACCTGATTTTTTTTTCTATCTGGGATCTCCTGCACTGATTCCTTTCTGAGTGGTTGATAGTGGTAGCCGCCTCTGCCCATTTTTAATAGGATTATTTATTATTATTTTTTTTGTTAAGTTGTTGAAGTTTTCTACAAATATTAGAGGTTAGCCCCTTGTCTGGTATGTGTTGACAAAAATTTTTTCTCAGTTTGTGGGTTCTCTTTACTCTTTCTAATGTGTATAAGTGTCTAATTTTTAGGAGGTCCCAGTCATCTGTTTTGTCTTTGGTGTTTGTGTGTTTTTAGTTATATTTGATAGTATATTTATGCTCTGAATTAGGGCCCCTTAGTTTGTCCCTATGTAATCTTTGATTGTCTTTATGGTTTTAGGTTTTATGTTCAGGTCTTTGATCCGACTTGAGTTTGTTTTCCTAAGGTGTGAGATACGGGTCCTATTTCATTTTTATGCACATGGATATCCAGTTTTACCAGCACCATTTATTAAAGAGACTATCTCGTCCCCATTTAATGAGTTCTGGCTCAAGATCAGCTGTCCTAGGTGGATGGATTTACTTACAGGTTCTCAGTTCTGTTCCATTGGTCTATGTGTCTGTTGCTGTACCAATATGAGGCTATTTTAACTACCATGGCTGTATAGTAGGTTTTTGAGATCGTGGGGTGTGGAGTTACCTGGTTCTTCTCTTGGTGGTAGTTAGATGCCCCCTTTCACCTCTGGGATGGCTCATGTTAAGTGTAGCGGGATGGCAAAACTGACCAGTCCTCATGCTAGGGTTCCATACAGCTGTTTCCACGGGTTACTGATGAAGATTAAAGATTGCAGCCTGTACTATGGATTGTATCTCAACATAAAATGAAAATCCTCACAACTGGACCTATAAGCAATATCATGATAAATGGAGAAAAAATTGAAGTTGTCAAAGATTTCATATTACTTGGATCCACAGTCAACACCCATGGAAGCAGCAGTCAAGAAATCAGACATCATATTGGATCTGGCAGATCTGTTGCAAAAGCCCTCTTTAATGTGCTGAAGAGCAAAGCTGTCTCTTTGAAGACTGAGGTGCACCTAATCCCACCCATAGGAGCTCTGGTAGCATAGTGCTTAAGGCACTTGACTGCTAACCAGAAGGCTGGCGGTTCAAACCCACCAGACACTGTTTGGAAGGAAGGTTGGGCAATCTACTTCCATAGTGATACTGCCTCGGAAACCCTATGAGGGAGTCACTGTGAGTTATGTCTGACTCCATGGCACATAACAACAACAACAACAACCCCACCAATGGTATTTTCAGTAGCTTCATATGCATGTGAAAACTGGATAATGAATAAGGAAGACCAAAGAAGAGGTGATGCTTTTGAGTGTGGTGTTGGTGAATATTGAAAGTACCATGGACTACCAGAAGAACAAACAAATCTGTTCTGGACAAAGTGCCCCTGGAATGCTCTTTGGGAGTGAGAGTGGCCAGACTTCGTCTCACCTACTTTGGTCATATTGTCAGAAGGGACCATTTCCTGGAGAAGGATATCATGGTTGGTAAAGTGGAGGGTCAGTGAAAAGGGGGAAGACCCTCAACAAGATGGATCGACACAGTGACTGCAGTGATGGGCTCAGATATAGCAAGGATTGTAAGGATGACTTATGACTAGGCAGTGTTTTGTTCTGTTGTACATAGAGTTGCTATGATTTGGAGCCAACTCGATGGTACCTCTCAACAACAACAATAACAGCACCCACAAAGGTACCATGTACCTTAATTTTTTTGGCAATTGAAAGCCATTAGGCATTTGACTGCTAACCAGAAGATTAGTGGTTCAAATCTACCAGCCACTCCGCAGAAGGAAGACTGGGCTTCTGTAAAGATTTACCACCTCGGAAACCCAAAGGGTGTTGTTATGAGTCAGGATCAACTCGATGGCAGTGAGTTTGGTTTTTTTGGTTTTATTACTTATGGAAGGTAAACAGTAAATAACAATAACAGATGACTTACAGAAAGCAGTGAACAACAACAGGACATGTACCTTAATTTACATTATTAACAAGCTATCCAATCCCCTTGGTCGGCCATAAGCACCTTACATTTGCATAGTTCCACCCCGCATCGTCATCTCGTGGGACTCTCAAAGACCATGGCTAGAAGAGCCATATTAAGTAATCCATTGCACCACACACTGTTACTGTGACTTGTAGGTGCCCCGAGCAGTGCAAAGCAATGAGAGAGCCATATATGGTCCTGTCACAGTCGCTCAACCCTGCCACAAACTAAACAAATGAACCTAGCTGTGTTTCAATAGAACTTTTATTTGTGAACATTGTCATTTGAACTTCATGGAATTTCCACGTCTTGAAGTATTATTATTCTGATTTCTTTTAACTATTTAAAAATGCAAAAACCATTCTTTAAACAAAAGACAGGTATATGAGCTGAACATTTCCATTAGGTAGATGCACTCCTTGGAGAGATCGATCATGGGAGAATAGAAAGGCTGTGTATGCACAGGGAGACAGCTCGGGGGCAGGAGTGAATGGGAGGGAAGGGAAAAAGGTTAACTATGGAGAGGAAGTGGGAGGGGTGCTGTTGCATTGTGGGAAATTGTAGTCAGTGTCAGGAGACAGTGTAGGTGAGCTGCTGAGTGGAAAGTGAATTTGCTGTGAACTTTCACCCAAATCACAGTAAAAAATCAAAACAAAACAAAAACCTATTCTTTGCCCAGGCTGTACAGAAATAGATGATGGGCCAGATTTGGCCCATGGGCCATCATTTCTCAGCCCCTAGTTTAGCTCATAAAGCTGTTGTAGACATTGAGTGAGTTAAGGCTTATAAAGAGTTTAGCAAGGTGTGTAACAAGTAGAAAGTGCTGCTGTCATCATTAAAGACAGTTGTCTTCTTTGAATTTGGGGTTGGCCATAGGACTGCTCAGTGAACCCATACTGACAAAGCTAGTTGATTCATTCTGTCCCCTCCAGGTACATGGCCACCTCTGCCCTGGACCACCAGCTAAAGATCTTTGACCTCCGAGGGACATTTCAGCCTTTGAGTGCTCGGACCCTGCCCAAGGGAGCAGGTTACCTGGCTTTCTCCCAGCGGGGACTACTGGCTGCAGGAATGGGCGATGTGGTCAACGTATGGGCAGGGCAGGGCAAGGGCAGCCTACCCTCTTTGGAACAGCCGTACCTCACCCACCGGCTCTCAGGCCACGTACATAGTCTTCAGTTCTGCCCCTTTGAAGATGTGCTGGGGGTAGGGCACAGTGGAGGCATCACCAGCATGTTGGTCCCAGGTGAGTAGGCCAGGGAATGGGGTGCTGAGTGGATGAACTGTGGATGAAGTTTGGGTCGGCCTAGGACAGCAGGGAGTGAGGGATTGGTTGATCTAGAGTTGGTGGACAGAGTTCTTCCTATGGTTTCATGCTCCTCCTTTCCTCTAGGGGCTGCCGAGCCCAACTTTGATGGCCTGGAGAATAACCCGTACAGGAGTCGGAAGCAGCGCCAGGAGTGGGAGGTGAAGGCCCTATTGGAGAAGGTAGGATATGTCTAAGTGTGGTTTGTGGTTGAGGCTAGGGAAAGCTCCCCAGTGCTCTCACACCAGGGAGTCTTGGGAAGAGGGGTTCAACACTCCTTAGCTTCTGTTCCTCTTTGGTGCCACCTTCTGTGACTCCATACCCATTCTTATCCCCCGTGACATCCCCAGGTACCTGCAGAACTTATTTGTCTGGACCCACGGGCTCTGGCAGAGGTTGATGTCGTCACTTTGGAACAGGAAAAGAAGGAACGGATGGAGAGGCTGGTATGGAGCAGGCCCCTGCATGCTCATTGCAAAACACCGCTCTTGAGTGCTCCGCCCTCCTCACCCCCATTACCTTCTCCCCACCATGGGCCTGAACCCAGAAGTGCAGCACAGCAGGTGAATGCTGCCACGGTCCCCTGCCTCTGAGGCTGAGCTGTCACTCCTTCCCTTTCCTCAGGGCTACGACCCTGAGGCCAAAGCTCCCTTCCAGCCAAAGCCAAAGCAGAAGGGCCGCAGCTCCACAGCCAGCCTGGTGAAGAGGAAGAGGAAGGTCATGGATGAGGAGCACAGGGTGAGAGCTTCGGTGGGGCAGACCAGGCCAGGCTGCCCCTGGGCTATTCCCCTCCTGCTCCTGCTTGTGACTCTGGCCTTGCCACTTCTCACCATACTTGTGTTGTCCTTCCAGGACAAGGTCCGGCAGAGCCTTGAGCAGCAGCAAGAGCAGCAAAAGCAAGAGAAGACTAAGCCCACAGGGACTTGGCCTTCTGCCCTGGACAGATTTGTGCGCTGAGCCTGGCCCCAGGGTGGCTTGGAACAACAGTCTTTCCCCAAGATTGTCTGTGGGAAAATGACCTTTTGGAATGAAGAGGGTGACAATGTGTCCCTCCCCAACTAGGGTGGACAGCTGGCTTCTGGGGTGGGTTGGTATTAAAGAGGAAGGTGGTTTTTTTGTATAGTGTGTCTGGATCATCCTGGGGCTCTGCTCTCTCCCCTGCCTCGTGTGGGGCTCTGTATGATCAGAGGGGTTATGCTATACTGCCTCTCCCTCCTGCCTCATACTGTGTGGTTGCTGTGGTCTTGGCCCTACCTCTTAAGGGCCTTACTCTTGGGAAAAGCTGTCTGTCCTCCTTCTCCCATGTCCCTGGAGATGCCCCCTTCCCATCCAGCAGGGTTTGACAGCCTCTGGGACTTCCCAGTTGGTGTTCTGGGAATTCTGATGAAAAATACACTGACTCAGGAGGCGAAGAGACAAAAATTTATTGAGGAGTTCATGCCCCTTGCCTGCCCTTGACTAGAGAGAATCTCAGCAATTTTTTTTTTTTTTTTTAATTTCTGATGAAATCTTGGGGGCTGGCAGGCTAGGCCCCTGAGTTTCTCCTGTATCCCTTCCTCTTCAGTGTCAGATTGAGGAGCTGGCATGAGGAGGCAGATCCACTGCAACTAGCTAGTGTTCCTGCCTCAGACCTGGGAGCAGGTCCTAGGGTTGCTTGACCTTCTCAGCTCCTCATTCCTGTGGTCCCAGGCACGCTCAACTGTGAAGCCAGGCTATGACCCGACACCGCAGGATGCCCAGGACTCCTTGGAGCCAGGAGCAGAAGGGTGCAGTCCTTTCCCCATCAGGACTGTCCAGCAGCTTCCAGGCCTGCTGCATCTTCCAGGGGTCCAACTTGTGGGATGTCAGCAGGAATCTTCCGTAGCAGCACCTATCCAGGGGGTAGTGGGTGGCACCAGCCAGCTTGACACAGTGGGTTGGGGTGAGGCCTCCTCGGCGGGCACTTACCCCCACAAACACATCTTCCAGTGGAAGGGGGGGTGTCCGACTGGCCACCCTCAGGATGAGCTGCACAGCAGAAACTGATAGCACATACCCTGTGCCTGAGGCATAGGGTGGAAAGGGCCCCCAAGCCACAGGCCACTGCTGTTCGGACACTTGGTGCCGGCCCTCTGGTGCTCTAAAGGGGTATACCCGCCAGTGTACACGGCCCAAGTACAGCAGAGGCACAGGCTCGTTCTCCAAGGCCCTTCCGCCTTGTTTCTTCTCTTCATTTCCAACCACACCTGAGCTCTGGGGCTCCGTGCTCCTTTCCCAGTGCTCCCAGCGGCCCCCTCGCCGGACCAGCTCTGAGACCAGTTCAGGGACGTTGACATACACATCATCGTCGGTCTTGAGGATGTAGCGGGCCATAGGACAGTGCTTGTTGGCCCAATTCAGCCCGCTGAGGGTTTTGAGGGTAAGGTTACGGTAGGAATCCTGGAAAGCTGCCTGCAAGATGTCTCCTTGGGCCGCAGCCTCCCACGCCAGGCCGTTCCGGTGTTCGCCCCTGGTGGGCTGCGGCCCAGTGGGCTCCCCCAACAGGAAGAGGGTCTGCACTCTCAGCCCCTTGGCCTTGCGCAGCCCGCCCCAGGAGGCCCGGATGGCATTCCTTTGGTTCAGGTTCTCCGGGGCGGTGCATACTAGGATGAGCAAGAAGGGAGGGGCACCGGGCCCGCGGCACGCCTCCACGTTGGGGATCAGGAGGCGGGGCAGGGCCAGTGGCGGGCCTGGAGAGGCAGGAGCGGGAAGCAGGGAGGGGAGTGAGAGGCTCAGCAGCTCCTCGCCCAGGCCCGAGGGCCCAAAGAGGATCCACACAATCACTAGCAGCAGGGCGGCGAGGAGGAGGCGACGGAGGAGGCGGAGGGACATGGTGCGGCCGTCAGAGGGGATCTGGATGGAAAGGGGAAGGGCAGTTAGTGAGTCCAGCTCCTCCTGGCCCGGATCAAGGCCCCCGTCTCCACCCGGCTGCCTGCAGGGTGGGACGTGCCGAGCGCGGCCCCGGGCAGTACCGGGACCCTGGCCGATGGTAGATGATGTTGAGATGCAGGAGGCAGTGCAACAAGCAACCACCGCTGGTGCTGCGGTTATGGTTACCTTGTCCTCGCGACCTCACCTTCCCCAGGCCCCACTCCATGGCAGACCGACTGATGGCGCCCGCCGCCCTTCCCTCGCCAAGCCCCGGGAGGATGTTGCGCCGCGCGTTCTCGCGGCCCCTGCCGGAAGCGTCTCAAGAGCGCAGCGGAATCAGAGTCGGCTGCAGCCGAGTGATGTGGTCGCACAAGGACAGGGTCTGGGAACCCCGACCGCAGAGGGCTAAAGCCCTGCGGACAGATTGGTTGGCACCCCCTCTCCCAGAGCACGCACTCGTTTCTTCATTTCCCCGCCCAGAACCCGGCTCTTCCGGGTCGTCGAAATCAGGGCCTGTTAGCTCAGCTCTAAATCCAGATTTTATATACCCTCCCCTCCCCCAATCTTGTTAACTCCCGACTAGATACAAAAACCCCAACTTTTAGAAACGCAAAGTAGTTAAGACCGCCAAATACTCACGCTGGTACAGCAACTGGCTAGGTTCCACCTTGGTGGCGCACTCCGAAAGCTGCACGTTTTATTTGCCACAACCGCCCCCAAACCTACTAGGGCTCCCCCTCAAGGCTGGGAATGTTCATTTTCCACTGGCGTTCACACCCTACAGATAGGGACATTACTTACCAAAAGGTTACTTCAGGTCAAGGACGGATGGTGGTAGTGGTGTAGAAAATCACCAAGAGCATTATTTAGTTGGCCTTCAGCTACGTTGGTAGAAAAGGAGAAATGACCAAGACCCAGCACAAACAAGAACATTCCCAAGTGTCACTGGACCCAGCCCGACTCCAACATTCCCCATCAGTGTCACCAGAAGAATGGAGAGAACGACAAAGAAGGTATATAAACTATTTATTAATAGACAAGGCATGTAAGACTTATTTCTTCTTGGATACACCCACAGTACGGCCACGGCGGCCCGTGGTCTTGGTATGCTGGCCTCGAACACGAAGGCTGCAGGTGAGAAAAAGACAACAGGTCATACAATGCTAAAGTAGAAGGTCTGGGGAAAGATGACTGAGCACTAGGATTTTGGATGAAGTCTAGAGGTTCGCAGGGAGATGAGACCCCCACCCCACTCACCCCCAGAAGTGGCGCAGCCCTCTGTGGGCCCTAATTTTCTTCAGTCTTTCCAGGTCTTCACGGAGCTTGTTGTCCAAACCATTGGCCAGCACCTGGCATTTGCAAGACAGGCAAAGAAGTGTTTGTTTTCCTTCCCTGATTTACCTACATCATAATTGGGACCCTACATTCTTAATTCCAACCAACCTTCCCAATGCCCTTCCACTGATACACACCTGACTGTATTTTCCATCCTTCACATCTTTCTGTCTGTTTAAGAACCAATCTGGAATCTTGTACTGGCGTGGATTCTGCATAATGGTGATTACACGCTCCACCTGCAAGGTGTGAAAAGGGTCAGATCCACAGGGGACCCAGATGCCCTCCCAAGTGATCTCAACCCACAACCCCCTCCTCATCCTCACCTCATCTTCAGTGAGTTCTCCTGCCCTCTTGGTAAGGTCGATGTCTGCTTTCCTCAACACCACATGAGCATATCTTCGCCCCACACCCTGAGGTAAGAGGTTTTGGAAAAGTTAGGTCTGAAATGTTGCTCCATTACTCAAAAAGCACATAAAGGTAGGGCCTGAAATAATGTAGTGCTTTGCATGTTCCCACAGTACTTTCCTCACCCACCTTTCCAATGCAGCAAAATATAAAGCCTGAATAGGAAAGAAAAAATAATTCTGTTCAGGGGTAAGGCTGGACCATGAGAACCCAGGGTAGAGGATAAACCCTCAAAAGCAGATTTTTCTCTCACAACGTCCACTTCAGTGTTGGCTGACAGACACTGCAACAATTCCCTCAAGAGTGGTACTTTCTGATTCCTGCACTATGGAGGACTGAGGATCTTGGCTTTCAAAGCTGATGCAGTGTTTAAACAGCAAGACCACCGTCTTGTGAATAGGCCACAAAAGGTCTTTAAGGGTCACAATTATTTGGCTAAGCCACCACACCCCCATGACCATTTTTTGTAAGATCCTAAACTTGTCAGGGGAGCTCTGGTAGCATAGTGGCTAAGACACTTGCCTGCTAACCAGACGGCTGGCGGTTCAAACCCACCAGCCACTCCTCGGAAGGAAGGTTGGGCAATCCTACTTCCGTAGTGATAATGCCTCGGAAACCCAAGGAGGGGTCGCTATGAATCGGGGCCGACTCGACGGCACACAACAACAACAACAAAATTTGTCAGTGCCTAGAGATGATCAAATCCTATAAGCTAAGTCTATTCCAATCAAACTCAAAGGATACTAATGGTTACACTGGTGGCTCGACACAAACACCTGGTACCCCTGCCATCTAAAGTCACAAACCAAACAGATGTGGATGGCAAAGGATGACGTTTTCTCCCTGTGAGCAAATGACCCAGGAAACCTAACCATCAGGAAGTTGTTTCACAAGACATTAGGGTCTTAAACTTTTTCCCCCAAAATTTACAGAAAAAAATGCTACTATGAAATTCGCTTCAAAATTGCTAGGGGTGTAAGTGATAAACCCATGGGATTGATCAAACCCTTCTACCTTTGAATGTTTAAAATTTTCCATAATCAAGTTGTTATCAAGCAAAGATTTTGAAAGCCCTGTCTACTGCCTTCTGTATCCACAAGAATACACTGCAGGCACCATGGCTCTCTCCAAGGGCCTGGACCATGTAATTGAGGAGTCGACAGTAACTTAATCATCATACTCCACTTCATTTTGATGGGGCAAGAGTTCCTTGTGAACAAGGCCTTTGGGTACCTCCCAGTCACTTCTTAACCCCCTCCCCATGTTTCCAAATACCCCCCAGATGGCAGTTATAATCCTGATGTAGAGGAAGGACAGAAAACCAGCCTTAAAGAGTACTTACAGCAAATATTCAAAGTGGGAAACAAAACAATAAGGAAAAGATCACAGCACAAAATAATCTTGCAGGATATATATTTATTAGTTGCCCTTGAGTCAGCTTGATGTGATCCCAGGTGTCAGCGTGGAATAGTATTCTACAAGGTCTCCAATGGCTGTTCTTTTTTTAAATTGTGATTTGGATTAAAGTTTACAGAGCAAATTCACTTTCCATACAGCAGTTCACATACACTGTCTTATGATACTGACTACAATTTACCACAATGCAACAGCTCCCCTCCCACTTCCTCCCCATAGTTTCCCCTTCCCTGTGTCCTTCCCTCCATGCACTCCTGCCCCAAGCTATGTCCCTGTGCATACACAGCCCTTCTATTCTTCCATGATTATTCTTGCCAAGGAGTGTATCTACCTAGTGTAAATATTAACCTCATATGCCCATCTTTCTGGCGGTTTAAACCCACCAACCACTCCTCGGAAGGAAGGCCGGGCAATCTACTTCCGTACTGACTCGGCAACCCAAGGAGGGGTTGCTATGAGTCGGGTCCGACTCTACGACACACAACAACATGCCTGTCTTTTGTATGGCTGGAAGCCACAGGTGTGGGTTCAATTCCAGACCTCAAAGGCAGATATGGGCCATATATGGGGCATAGTCTCAGTGGTTCCATCAGACCAGCAAACCTGGTCCCCCCCCCTTTTTAAATGATTTTGAGTTTCGTTCCACATTGCTCTCCCACTCTATCCAGGATCTCTTACATAGATCCCCCTCCGAACAATGGCTGATTGTTCAGAAACAGATCTCACCAGGCCCGTCTTCTGAGATGCCACTGGGTAGACTTGAACCTCCAACCTTTCAGTACCCAGCTGAGCACTTAACCATTTGTATCATCCAGGGACTCCAGGATCTATACTGCTATTAGCTGCCATTAGTTGGCTCCCAACTCATGGTGACCCCATGCACAATGAAATTAAACAGTGCCTGGTCCTGTGCCATCCCATGATTGGCTGTGGATTAGATTGTTATGTTCTATAAGGTTTTCATTGGCAGATTATTTGGAACATTTCCAGGCCTGCCTTCCTAGTCTGTTTATCTCTGGAAACTCTGCTGAAACACATTCAGTATTATAGCAACAGGCAAGCCTCTACTGAAAAGCCAGGGGTGTTAGCTGTGAACAAGATGCACTGGTCAGGAATCAAACCAAGGTCACCCATATGGAAGCTAAGAATCCTGTTACTGAACCATCAAATGTTCCACAGTAGGATCTGCCCCACCCCATATGCAACCTCTTTTCCAGCTTAACTTTCAAATTTCCTAGACTCACCCCAATCTCTGATCCTTAACACCTCCAAGCTTTAGTTTGCTCACAAAGGGAAGAGGTGCTGCCTTTCCTGGCTCTTCACATAATTAACAAAAACTTCAGTACTCGAACAGCCTTTCCCAAAGGTAACGGCACCAGAATCCCCCATTCAAGAATTCTCTTCACAGGCCCTCTAAGTTATCTGAAAATGCCTTGGCCAAATACAGCTTTTCCACAAGTTCCAAGTTGATCACAAAAGTTATGACACACATTTAACAAAACAGATCAATTTCAAAGAGGCAGGGAGGATGGAGTTCACTGTACTCATTCACAACCTCACTAGCAACCCTTGGCAACAAGTAATGAATTTCACACTGCCTTCAAGTTTGAGAATGTCAAACAGAAGCTTTAAATTTCCTCTGTACTCAACTAAGTATAAGCAAAAACTGTGTTCTCTGTAGTAAAGTGTGTGTGGGGGGGAAATCAAGGCAATTTTACAAATCTTTTAAACCAGGGCTACAACTATCTTTGTGAGGGGACAAGGTATCCCCATTACCATCCATTTCCTAATACTGAATAAGC